CCCAGAAATACTTTTTATTTTATTTATTTATTAAAAAAAATTTTTTTTAATGTTTTTATTTATTTTTGAGACAGAGACAGAGCATGAACGGGGGAGGGTCAGAGAGAGGGAGACACAGAAGTGGAAACAGGCTCCAGGCTCTGAGCTGTCAGCACAGAGCCCGACGTGGGGCTCGAACTCACGGACCGCGAGATCATGACCTGAGCCGAAGTCGGCCGCTTAACCGACTGAGCCACCCAGGCGCCCCCAGAAATACTTTTTAATGTTCCTCTTGGTTTCTTTGACCTGTAGTTAAAGAGTGGTTTTTTGTTTTGTTTTGTTTTTTAATTTTCAAGTATTTGCTGTTACCACAGATTTCTTTCTGTTGTGATTTCTAACTTAATTCGTTTTTGGTCAGAAAATACACTTTATGTGATTTTAGTCTTTTTAAGGTTTTGAGACATTTCATGGCTCAGAATATAGTCTCTCTTAGATGATGTTCTGGTGTGCTTGAGAATGTGTATTCTGTAGTCATTTAAAAGATTAATGTGTGGCAATGATATGATTTTTAAAGAACAAGGAAGTTCTTGAATAAATGGAATCTTACGCAGTATCTATGAATGATAGGCTTGATAGTATAAAAAGAAAAATTCTCATTCAGAATTCCTGTAGGGACTTTTTACTATAGCGTAACAGATTTCTCCTAAATTTATATGGGAAATCACAGGCAAAGTATATGGAAGAGTAAAAGGATGGTAGAAGGAAGATGGTGTTGTTGTATATTTCCATACCCAATAATACTATAATAATTAAGATAGTGTCACCGTGTAGGGATGGACAAGTGGATAATGGAAAATAACATGGAAACCAGCTGAAGACCTAGCCTTATACATAGAAATTTGAATTATGATTGAGATAGCATTTCATTTCGTTATAAACCCTAAAAGAGTTAGTACCACAACTGGCTCTCCATTTGAGTAAAAAAATCTGTTATTGCTACACAGAAATAAGTTTATGATGGGTTTTAGGTCTTAACTGTTAAAAGTAACACTTGAAAACTTTTTAAAGTGACTGTTGGTTTATCTTTATTACTTTAAGGTAGGGAAGTATTAAGAAAAGCATTGGTGAATTGACTATATTGAAATTTAAAACTTTTCTACATCAGAAGATACTTTCTCTCCCAATCAAAAAAAACATGGCTGAATTGTTTGGAAGTATATATTTCCAATTCAAAGAAGTGACATAGAATTAGTAGGCAGTATGTATAAGGAACTCTCATAGTAAACAAAATAACATAATTGAAAAATGAACAAATGATATCATAAGCAATTTGCAGGAACTTAAATGATGAAAAGATGCTTGGTGTCACTAAGAAACATCAAATGAAAACATTATGAAGATATGTTTTAGAGCTTCCACCAGTATTTTGTGTTGCCAAGAATGTGTTACCATAGCATTCTCATACACTACTAGAAGTACTGCTAACTTTTTCAACTACTTTAGAGAGAATTTTCTATTATTGAGTGAAGTTGCAAGTGAGTAATTTCATTCCTGGTAATATATCCTGGGGAAATTCACATGTCTACAGGAGGTCATGAACAAGAACCTTTATTATAGTATTCCTGAGAATTGCAAAAAATTTGAAAACAAACCAAATGTCCTAACATAAGTAAGATTATTGGAACATAATGGAATAGTAAATATATAGCAGTTAAAGTGAATTGGGGCGCCTGGGTGGCGCAGTCGGTTAAGCGTCCGACTTCAGCCAGGTCACGATCTCGCGGTCCGTGAGTTCGAGCCCCGCGTCGGGCTCTGGGCTGATGGCTCAGAGCCTGGAGCCAGTTTCCGATTCTGTGTCTCCCTCTCTCTCTGCCCCTCCCCCGTTCATGCTCTGTCTCTCTCTGTCCCAAAAATAAATAAACGTTGAAAAAAAAAAATTAAAGTGAATTAATTAGAGCTATATAGATTAGTGTAGATGAATTTCAGAAGCTAATGTTGGATGTGAAAAATAACTTATAGGAAGGCTTATTTTGTATGATACATATAAATGTATGTTTTTTCAAAAACTATTAAACTTCAAACTTAACCAGATTTGATTAGTTTTCCGCTTATGTTCTTTTTCTGTTCCATAATCCAATCCATGATGCCACACTGCATTTAGCATATATAGATTTTTTTTTTTTTTAGGGGAGTTGATTAAAGACTGGGATTTACATAGTATTGCTTTAAGAAAATGAATTTGCTTGAACATAAAAGAATTGCAGATATAACAGTTAAAAAAATTTTTTTTAGTTTATTTTTGAGAGAGAGAGAGAGAGACAGAGTGCAAGCAGGGGAGGAGCAGAAAGAGAGGGAGACACAGAATCCAAAGCAGTCTCTAGACTCTGAGCTGTCAGCACAGAGCCTGATGAGGGGCTTGAACCTATGAACTGGGAAATCATGACCTGAGCTGAAGTCAGAGGCTTAACCGACTGAGCCACCCAGGTGCCCCCAGTAAAAGTTTTATTTGAAATATTAAAGCTTATTTTTGTATGACAACTGAAACTTAACCAAATAAAATCTAGGCTTGATCTTTGTGTCTGTGTGTTTTGTATATGTATAATCTTGAGGTTATTAGAAAGAATAAAAAATACAGTATTGGAAAAAATAGCTGTGGAAAAAAATCTTGTTATTGGTATAAGTTTTAAACATATAAACCAACTCTAAATATTTTATTGATTTATAAATAAATACTCATAATATGAAAATATTTTTGGAAATAATTAATACCAAAATCTGGATAAAGACTGGGACAGTTTTTTTCTGGGGAAGGAAAGAAGGAGAATGATTTGAAATGGTTTCAAAGGAGGCTTCAATGATACTTGTTAGATAAAACCTCATAGATCATGTAAATAAGTGAAAATTCGAAATTATAAGAAACACAGGACTGTGTCAGATATGTTCAGACCAAATGGTTGGTCTCTGGATGGTTATTAATGTAATTTTAGTATTTTATTATAGAATTGAAATATTGTATAAATTAAAAGAAACAAAGATGGATTTGAATATTCTGAAAAAGAAAATTAGTACAATGAAAATGTTTGTTAGGGAATATTAGAGTTACAGAAGTTTATGTGGTTAAATGAAAATTTTCTGCAGTGGTTTTTATTTGTATTAGTGATGGAGGAAGTACTTAATTATATTCTTAGTGTTAAATAAGAGATGTACAGAGATTGTTGTATTAAATGCAGTTTTGTGTTTAGGGTTTGTTTTGATAGAATAAATCATGTCTAATTGCAATAGATGATGTGTTGTAAAGGTGACTTTTTAAATTCCTTTCTGGTCCCAAGATTATGGCCAGAGGGATATCAGGGTCACCAAGAATAACTTGGAGGTTGCCAAGGACTTGTTTTAAAGTGTTTTCAAGTCTGACCGAGAACTCTGACATTTGGAAACAAGTAAGAAAATATGAATGTTTAAAATCATCTCTTCTTTTCAGGATTGATTTTAAAGAAACTACTCCACACAGGAAACTCCTTGAAGGTATGGTTGTCTTTCTTTTCTATGACTTTTTAAAAACTGAGTAAAGCATATAGTCTCTTGTTCTACTTTTCCTACATCAACTTTTTTCCTAAAGAATTTTGAATTGTTTACTTAATTGAAGTGAATTGACTTAAAATATAGCAACATACTCAGTATGTGTGAAATATGTACTAGGTTGATTAGGCTATCGAAAAACTATTGTTGGGGTGCCTAGGAGGCTCAGTTGGTTAAGTGTCTGACTCCTGGTTTCAGTTCAGGTCATGATCTCATGATTCTTGGGTTTGAGCCCCTCATTGGACTCTGTGCTGATGCTGGGGAGCCTGCTTAAAATTCTCTCTCCCTTTTTCTCTGCCCCTCCCTTTTTCTCTGCCTCTCCCTTGTTGTCTCTCTCTCAAAGTAATAAACTTAAAACAAAGAGAAAAACTGTTGTTTGCCAATGCATTGAGTGATTCACTAGAAATACTTTACTCTCTGATCCCAGAAGATAAAAACTATTTAATCATTCAATAAATTATTCTTTATATTACCATAACTATGCTTAGATGTAGAGAGAAATAAAGGATCTATATTAAAAAGTTGGTTTTATTTCTTTTTCATTATCTCATTGTGCTGTTATAAGAGAAGCTACCTTGTCTAAAGGCTTCTCATTATAGGTTAAATGAAAGTTTCATATTGTAGGTAGGTTTGGTGTCAAGGCTTGGAATAAGAGCATGAAGGATTAAGTCTTCCTAATTGTTATCTTGTTATCTCCCTAAACTGTGAGGTTGGCAGCTGTTGAACAGCTTTGACAGTGGCCGTTTACCAAGCTGTGGTAGGCCAATTTCCAAAGCTACCAGTGAGGTTAGGTTAGTGAAGAACTTGATGTTTTCCTTGTCAGAGTTTGAATGTTTTTCTGTCTTTTCCTGTTCTCTTCATGGGAGAGAATTTATGCATTGATTCAAATATTTGTTGTCTTCTGTAGATGGGTTATTGTTCTAGGTGCTTAGAATAGAGTAATAGGTCACAATTTCTGTTTTGCAGGTTAGCAGGAAATAATAAGTACATGACATAATTTCAGAGAGTGGTAAGCCTTTTAAGGACAAGAACATTAATTTAGCAGTGCACCAGGATCCCCATTACGATTCTTCATTTTACCAAACTCATTATAGCAAGGAACAGTTATTGCCCTCTTTCTTCTTGTATTAGACCATCAGAAATGATTTTCTGATTTTCTACAAATGGAAATTATAGAACAAAGATTACCTTATGGCTTTCAGTAGTAAGAGGCCAAGTTTATTCTGTAGTTGTTCAAATCTATGAATTTAATTTTACAAGTAATGAGAGCTCAATAAATGACATGGATGTAATAGCTCTTCCTCCTTCCCTCCCTCCTTCCTTCTTCCTTTCCTTTCCCTCTTTCTTTCCTTCCTCTGTTTTGCAAAGTAACATTCTCTAATCATCTAAAGAATTTTGGCCTTAAAAGTAAGAAAATATTTCCATTGTAAGTAAAAATACTGTTTTTATTTTATTTTAGATCAGGCGGGAAGGTGTTCGTCTTTTTTTATTATGGTTACAAGCTCTTCAGAATAACTGTAGCAAAGAACAACTTTGGATGTTTTCTTGCTTAATTCCTGGATTTTCAGCACTACAATCTGAACATGGACCTCGAACTTTAGATAATCTCATTAATCCTCCACTCAACCTTCAAGAAAGTAAGATTCATGAGATCTTATTCATTAGTATTTAAAATTTTCTGTGTAGTTAATATAGGTTTAAAATGTCTGTACATTTATTAACTGGGTAATTCAAGGCCATATTGTAAAATGTAGGTTTTATTATTTTTTAGGTATAATGAGGCCAACAGATCAGATGATTGTCGTTAAAAAAAAATATATAGTTACAGTTCCCAAGAGGAGAGGGCATGCCACACCAGGGAGGGTGGCCACATGGGGAAGTACCAGGGTCAATCAGGGGTAGGGTATCATAGGCAAGAGCCTATATGATTTCTGTAGGTAGAATGTGTGAGGCAGTGTGAGCAGTTCTGCGGCTCATTTGGATAATTTTAGCAGGCTCAGGTGCAAACGGGCTTTCCCTCATTGTCACTCAGGTACCTGGGTGATTAGGTGAGGGGAATAGTGGCCTTGAGTGTGAGGGCCGAATAGAAGTGGGGAGTAGAGGTGTGTACTCTGGACTGGATGGTTTGCACCTGGAAGGAATGTTCTCCAGCCCATGTTTATGATCTCTAGGAATTAGCTAGCCAGCCCTGGGAGGGCCATTCTTCTCTCCCTGGCCAACAAGTCTTCTGGCATCAAAGCATCAGAAACACCTGGTTAATATAAGCCATTTTTACATTTATCTTTCATCTCTAATTCTCATAAGTCCTCTTGTATCCTTGAGTTAATTTGGATGTACTTTGAAGTACAAGAGTATTTTATTTTGTGCCAAGAGGACTATAAAGAAACCTACTTTTGTGAACTTAATTACTGGGCTAATATTTACTGAGAAACAGGTTTAGGAATATGCCTGTACTAAACTAGGTGCTGCTTAGGAAATATTTAAGAGAATTCAGCTAGTTGTTGGTTTTCTTGAATTTGCGGTTGTTACAATGAATGTTTTTGAATATTTGAAAATTTTTGAAAATGTACATATTTCTTATTTTATACATGGACTTTTGTAATCAAGGAACTAAGATGTTTTCTTTTTGAGAGGGAAATAGCATTTCCTTTTTTGAATAAAGCGTTACCTTAAAGGGTAATCGTGGTCATTACTAGAGTACTCTGTCCTTTAATTGATGAATAAGCTCATTATTTTTGCTGTTACTCATCATACTATGGAATTTTGGAATGGACACACTTAATGTGAATTTTAAAATATCATGAGAAGTTTTTTTTCAAGCAAGATTTACTCTTAAGCCCTTCATATCTGTCTGTCCATCCTTGTCACATTATCTCAGTCAAGGGCTTATGAAACAGCTGTTATTAAACTTCATGGTTGTTGTGATGGTTGTCCGGATGATCTCAGATTTATTTCAAGCTTCAGTCATTAGAACATTTTCAACCAGTATTTGTTGCATATGTGTTTTACAGTTAATGTTTTTTGGACCACATTATTTCATTGTTAATTTTGTTTTGTAATTATACTGAACATTTCTTTTGTCTTTGGATAGCTCAAGTCACTATAGAGGAAATCACTCCTCTTGTCCCCCCACAATCAGGAGACAAAGGACAAGAAGATCTCACAAGCTATTTTCTTGAAGCACTTTTAAAATATATAGTAATTCAGGTATGTTTTATCTTCTTAAATATCACCCCTCTTACCATCATTTTTCCCTCTCTTACCATTGTTCTGTTAGAGTAGATATTTGCTTATTGTCCTGAAGGAGGACAGATTTTTGCTTTTGAAAATGTATGTTAGTATGCCTTTCCTGGAAAAAAAAAAAAATCATTGGAGGGATTATTAATCCCTTAGGGAGCTAGAGAGAGAAATTTTTAAGTAGACTGTTTCATGTATAAACCTTCTTATGTGGTCCAGTTTCTAATCCTTTCCTTTATAATCAGCAGCTGTGGTCTTTAAAAAAAACAAATAACTGGTTTAGGGATCAACCTGCCAAGAAGCCAGTAGGGAGGTAGGCTGAGAATGGGGTGTGGGTACAGGAATGTAATTTATACTTCAACCTGTTTGTACTGTAAATTTCTAAGTGAATGTATTTTGTAAGGTAACCTCTTCATCTCTGCATAGGAAATGTGCATGTTCTGATCAATGAAAACACTCGCATGTATACATTTCTTGTAACTGTTCCAAACATAAAAATTCCCCATGCCTTAGAAACTAACATTATAAAGTTAATTTGGACCCTGAATGAGATTACCAAGATTTAAATCTGATTCCACATCTTACTGATAGTATGATCTTTGTTAAATTAACCTCTGTGGCTTAAAATAGACATAAAAATAATACATATCCTACTTTGGTGTTTGAGGGTTAAATAATTAGTGCAAAGTACTAGAATAAAAAAGTACATGATACAAGTAAGTGTTCTGTGAATAGTAGTTGTTACTGTCATTATTATTACCAGTTTTTCTTTTTTAAAAAACAACTTTTACACTCCATATAGGTTTTTAAATGTTTTGCTGGTTTATTGAGATATAATTGGCATACAGTAAACTGCAATATTGAAATATACAATTTGATGAAATTTATTATATGTGTACAACATGCAGCCATCACCACAATCAATATAATGACAATATCACCCCTAAAAGTTCTCAGATGCCTTCGTAATATATCCTTTTCCACTCCTAACTGCTTCCTAATCCCAGGCAACTATTGATCTTTGTCACTATAGTTTGCATTTTCCATATTTTTATGTAAATGGAATCCTGTAGTACATACTTTTTTTTGGTCTGGCTTCTTTTTTCCATCATAAATATTTTGAAAATCATCCATATTGTTGTATATTTATAGTTTGGTTCTTTTTATTGCTGACTAGCTTTTCATTGTATGGATATACCACGTTTTGTTATTCAGGTGATAATGAGTTCCCAGTTTTTGGCTATTGCAAATAAAACTGTGAATATTGATAAATAAGTCCTTGTGTATACGTAAAGTTTCCTTTTTTGTGGGTAAATACCATTAGTCAAACAGCTAGGTTGTAGAGTAGGTATATACTGATTTTTTAAGGCGCTACCAAGTGTTTTCCAAATGGTTGTGCCTTTTTACATTCCACTAGCAATCTATGAAACTTAAAAGTTGCATCACATCCTCATCAACAGTTGGTATGGTCAGTATGTAATTTTAGCTATTCTAAAGTGAATGTATAGTGGTATCTCACTGAAGCCTACTCTGCGCTTTTACCATCCCCCTACTTAGATATCTTCCTCCCCCTACTGAAATTCTCACACCCTGTGTTTTACTGCTCTTTCCCCTTCTATCCTCACCTCCTTACTTCATGGACACTGTCCTCACCTCCTCGTGCTCAAAGTCCCCACTGGGCAACTGCCTCTACTGTATCCCCTCCATGGAGGCCCTACTTCTTATGCAAGCTCTGATTACCTGCACTTGACTGCCACTGCTTTTACTCCTTCTCTACTCTCACATATACCTATTTTGTATGACTTTTAAGGCTGAATTATTCAGGATGGGGCAATGGGGAAAAGAACATTCATATCTTTGTCATTAGTAGAGCTGAATTTGAGTCAACTTTGAAAATTTTCCAGAGCATACTTTAACTTCTCTAAGATTTTTGAAATATAACTTATATAATGCATTTTCATGGCATTAAACCCTCATTTTAAGATTTGTCCTTTATATATATTTAGCGTGTATATCTTTAGAGTGTAATAGATTAGTGTATTGCTTAAGTAACCTTTTACAAGCTTGTTTATAATAACTAATAACTGTTTCTGTTTCATGGAATGATTCTCATTACATTTTTTATTATTAGGTAAAAAGTTTAGAATGGAAGAACAAAGAAAACCAAGAAAGGGGATTTTCATTTTTGTTTTCACATTTTAAGAAATATTACTTGCCTTATATTTTCCCAAACATCTGCAAGGAGAATAGTTTATATCATCCTGTACTTGGTAAGTAGTCTTTGGAATTTTCTAAAAGAGCACATGTAAGAATAAAATATACTTCATTGTAAAGCTGGCATTTGTTACCTGAAGAAGACTGATAACTTTAATATTTTTATTGATTCCTTAGAAATATACCTTGATTCATACAAAAAGTGGAATTCTATTAATAGGAAAGTTTCACTGAGAGTGAAGAGATTTTTTTTAAAAAACATATTCTTTGGGTCTCACCAATTGGAAAAGTTAACCTACCAGCAATATTTGTGATTATAAATTAAACTTAATTCTAATATTTGGTATGATCCTTAAACTACATTATAAATTTTTTAAGGCCCCCCCAAGGGTTTGATTTAGTATGTCTTATTTAAATTATGTATGAATAATTGCAGTGTCATATGTTTTGATGATATATTATCCAGTATTTAGTGGCTGTGCCAAAATGGCTGTGTGAGCCTTGAAACTAGAACCTTCTTGACAAATGTTGGGTTAGAAGCAGACCTTCCATATATAGGAGGCACTGGCAGTCTGTATGTGGAAATGTTCTTTTTGAAGAAAGATTTTCCTATTTTAAGCTTTGCCAAGTTTAGGCAACTCATAGGTTTAGGCATAACCATTAGAGCTAGTAGAAAGGAATTAAATTAGAGTAGCAGATCTTTGCCATTGAGAACAATATTTACTTTAAAAATATTTTTGCTGTAAAAATCAAGGAAAAATTCTCATACTTTGTATTACTTCAAAATTTGTGTCTCAGTCTTAGGTTAATTGAAGTGAGTTCTCATTAATTTCAAATGGCTCTGGAAGGTTCTCTACTTAGGCAAGATTCATTGAGCTTTTCAGTGATAAAATTGCAAAAACACATTTCCATATATCAGCCATATATGGTTCACTCTTGTAGATTCCATGCTGATATCTAGCAAATTATTTTAAAATGTCATTTTTGTACCAAATCTTCTAAAACAAGAGTATCATGACAAGTGTTTTCTCAAATGTTTAAAAATGCATATTTAAGCATAATTCTTATTTTGGTCTTTGTTTTCCTTTTATTTTTCATAGATATCCCACAGGTGAGACCAAAGCCACATTATGTTATGATAAAGAAGGATGCTGAAACCAATGAAGCAATCTATTGTACAAAGGAGCCTTTCATTAAGGCTCGGGTTATTGTCATTCGTTGGCTGGTTTCTTTCTGGCTTGAGCCAAAGCCACATACAGGACCTCATATTCCTGGGATGGAAGGTGAAGTCTTGCCAAAGAATATTCAGGTAATACATCACATAAGGCAAACTTGTTGAAGTTAAAAATGGCTTAAGAGATATGTCTCTGGATTTAAATTGCCTTATGTGTAGAACACATTTAAAGCAAATGATAGTATTTTCTTTGTATAAATGTATTTTATGAATCCAAATTTTAACAATTATTATAGAATTGATAGTTTTTTTAATAAAAAATAAAACTTGGAAGACATAGAAGATAATTCTAGTCATATATGAGTCTCAGCCTTTAATTTGTTTCTGTATTTTATATTAGTTGTGCAGTATTAAAAATATTCTGAATTGTACATACAGACTCTTGCAGTTGGAAGCAATCTGTAATCAAATGGTTGTAGAACCATCATAATTCTTTGTAGATTTCCAAAGCATTCACAGAATGCTGACTTAAAATCTTATCTTCCAGGGTACTTGGCTGGCCCAGTCCATGGAGCTTGTGACTCTTGATCTTGGGGTTGTGAGTTCAAGCCCCGTGTTGGGTGTAGAGATTATTTAAATATAAAGTCTTGGGCGCCTGGGTGGCTCAGTCATTTAAGCACCCAACTTTGGCTCAGGGCATGATCTCACGGTTTGTGAGTTCAAACCCACATCAGGCTATCTGCTGTCAGCGCAGGAGCCCACTTTGGATCCTCTGCCCCCATATCTCCCTGTCACTCCCCACTTGCACGTTCTGTCTCTCTCAAGAATAAATAAACATTAAAAAAAAATCTTTTTTAAAAAATTTTTTAACGTATATTTTTGAGAGAGAGAGAGCATGAGCAGGGGAGGGACAGAGAGAGAGGGAGACAGAGAATCTGAAGCAGGCTCCAGGCTCTGAGCTGTCAGCACAGAGCCCGATGCAGAGCTCAAACCCACAAACTATGAGATCGTGACCTGAGCCGAAATCAGATGCTTAACCTACTGAGCCATCCAGGCAGCCCCCCAAAAAATAAAATCTTAAAAAAATAACGCCTTGCCCTCATCTCATTTCCCCTTTTTTCAACAAGGGCACTGAGTCTAGAAATGTGATATAAAATTGTACGGCTATACAATGGAGGGACTAATCTATAAACTTCTAGTATTTCTTAATTAAATAGTTGGTCTTTTTCATACTTCATTATCACTTTCTCCTTTTTCCTCAGTGTGTGTTTTTCCTGAACTTATCTATATTACAGTATTTATTTTATAATTTTTATTTTCCTTTTCTCAGATTTTCTTCATTTAGCTTAAAATATCTTATACTGTGTGTGTTTTTGTATGACTTCTTAAATCTTTCACAAATTAAGTGGAGGTATAAAGTGGATGTTTAATTGATTAGCACTCAGAATATTTCAATTATATTCCCCCTTAGCCTTTATTTATCTGCAGCCGACTATGGGTATGTTTTCCCTAAAACTTTGTTTCAATGTCTCTACACAGAATTATTAAATATAGAAACTCTCAAGCAGAACTATTTTCCATGATCTCAGAACTTAATGCACTAAAATCATGGAGGTTTTGATTAGGAAGGCATATTTGAGATTATTTACTTAAACCCTCTTGTTTTATAGACGACAAAACTGAGACTAAAAATTGAGTAACTTAATGGAAACGAATTTGCCATACCATGATATAGTGCTACTACTATCATAACATGGTAGTAATTTCCTTATCACCAACCTTACTTTATCGCTAGTCTTAGGCTTCATCTTTAGTCATGGTGAAAAATCTTTTAAGTTAGTAGAATATAGAATGTTCTCTTGAGTTTGTTTCTTTCTTTCCTTCCTTCCTGCCTGCCTACCAGCCAGTCAGCCTTCCTTCCTTTGTTCCTCCCTCCCCATTTCCCTTCCTTCCTTCCGATTTTATTTTTAAGTAATCTCTACACCCAGCATGGGGCTCAGACTTAAAACCCCAAGATCAAGAGTCACATATTCTACCAGTAGCCAGCCAGGCACCTCACTCTTGAGTTTTTTTTTATATTTTCTTTAGGCGTCATTTCTACTTCTGTCATAATTTTTTTTTTTTTTTGCCATTCCTTTGTTTTTTTGTAACTTGTTTGTACTGCAAACATTCTAAAAGCAAATTATAGGTGGATAGATGATTAGTGAGTGTCACTATATTACTTACGTGATGAATTATTTGGATTGCCACTTAATTATTTAGAATGGATTCTAAATGAAATCTATGCCTGGGGTGCCTGGGTGGTTCAGTCCATTGAGTGTCCATCAGATTCTTGATTTTGGCTCAGGTCATGATCCCAAGGTTGTGGGATCAAGCCCTGCATGGGCTCCATGCTGAATGTGGAGTCTGCT